ACCTGGGACTTCAACAGCACCACCTGAAAAGCCTACAAAAGGATCCTACTGAGGTTGTTAGTCAAACATGCAGCTTTAGTCATACCTCTCGTAATGCAATGGTAACATTTCTGTCAGACATCTGTGCTGTGTGCTTAACAGTCTTCATTTCCTACACAAACACATCTCTGTCGAACAGGACTATTCCCATGGAATATGAAGCTATTTCTGATTTAATCTGATATAAATTCCACTATCTGGTTTTACAAAGTTAGTAAAGAGTCCGTTGAGCACAGGTGAAATAACAAAAAACAATTTAGGTTTACTCAGAATGGCTCATCTTTACTAAGCAAGCTCGCATATAAAACATGTTGAAAGCAGAACAATTGTTAATAAGTGAAACAGAATTGGCTTCTGGGTGCAATGTTCGAAAGTACTGATATGACAGCCCCACTACAGAGCAGCTGGCTCCAAGTTCAGGGCTAGATGTAAGGAATGATTGTTTCTGCTGTGCCGACTGTGTGATCTTTACCTTGCCTCTGTCCTGTTTACCCAGCTGGATGTCCAGAGGGCCCAATGCTCTCTTCAGTGGCCCCAGCATGCTAATAGAATTTCTTTACATTAGGATAACTGAACAGCCTCCAGCAATCCTTCCACAGCATGCATGACTCTTGTCTCTCTCAGATTTGACTTGCATCTGCAGGATCATACAAAAAGCCTGAAGGAAAATATTGGATTAGCCCACAGCCATAAGAGCAGTTGCTCTGAATGTTTCTGTATATAGTATGTCGGATGTATTGAGCGGCTCATGCAGAACACAGGACAGAGGCCTGGGAAGAGCGTTACACGGTTTTGAACACTGCGTTTCTTGATAAGGAAATGAAGGCAAATTAGTCCTGGGAAATGAGTTGTAGAGCTTCAAAATGCCAAACTAAAGCAACATCTACTGTATAAAGCCAAGGAAAAAGAGGGATGGCCAATGAGAGATATAAGCAGAGCAATCTACGCAGCTGAGCTCTCAAGGGAAGACTTATAACTTGCATTTAAAAAAAAGGAAAAACAGAAAAATGGCTACCCCGCAGGAAATTAATAAATCAGTTGAAATACTGCAGATGTTTATATACAGTACTTAAAGTGTCAGTGTTTGGCTTCACAATATAAAGGCTGAACACATATACAATCATAGTGAATTAGCTATTCAGAAGTGTAAAATGGAAGTACTTCTATGAGACATTATTCCACTTTCTTATTACGATCTTACACATTATCCCCGGTCTTTATTCACTCTTGCTCTCTGTGTCTATTCTGAGGTTCTCAATGACTTTTTATTACTTTTTGCCCTTTTCAATTTTATTCGTTTACTCAGCGCATACTAGAATTGTGATGGAACCTCACAGAATGTTAGAAAACACTAAATTGAATATATTGACACACTTACAATTAGTTCTGAGACATCTTTTCTAAGAGGCTAGGAAGAACATCTGAAAGGTAACCTAGTTGTCCAACACAAGAGCAGGATTATTTTTCTTTTTAACAGCGTCTCAGTGGAACCTCCCTTTGTCTTGTCAAATCTTTTACACCTTAAGGCCAATGAGTAATGTTCCTGTGTGAAAAGCACAACCCTTTGCAGATAGCAGCAGCTACCCTCCTCCTCATCACTCATTAAGCAGTCCTCATATGTAGACTGATGTGTCAGGTGGATTTATGCAGTGTTTGTTGCCTGCTATTTCAAGGTCCTACATAAATAAGAGAACAATCCCCTCTGGAGTAATGCAACGTGTAATCATCATGAGAGACTTAATGGGTCAAAGCCAAGGTACCTTGTAAGTTTGTTCCCAGTGATGGAAGAAACATCTGAAGCACTTCAAAGAAGGCAAAACAAATTTAAAACTGTTACGTTACTATTTTGTAAAGGACAAAATTTACCTCAGGGACTATGTACAAAGGAGGAATGAGTTAAATGGGGCTCAAATGGAAACTTCAGGTTGCATTCAACTCCAAAGTGAATTTAATATACATCACATTTTTCTAAATCCAGACTCCAAAGCTTTAGTGGGTTAGTCTGATAATGAAGAATTCAAAAAATCATTAAACAAAGTAGCCAACATGTAATTTTACTCATCAGTGATCCCCAAAAGTGGAACAGTAAGTGTTAGCTCAGCAACACCAACTGTCTCAGCTGAATCTACTTTGGCATTGCTTAATATAACCCAGTTACCTCAATCAATATTAACACTTCCTTTCCCAGTATTGTTTCAGACAAAAACGAATAACTCTGCACGTGAATAAGAAAATAAGATCAACAAAACAAACACCTGAAGTGCTATAAAAATTTACCAAACTGGCCAACATTTTCTTAAACGCTGATAGCCGTCTTGGAAGAAATAAAAAATGGTTAAATGGAGAGTAGAAATACAGGACATTTCACAGTGATTGGAAATCCCGTTCCCACAATGCAAAACGACGCCTGGTCCCAGAGGCACCTATTAATTTCACATTATCTCCCGAGCCAAGGCAGCCCTTTCTGATTTCAAGGCAAACAGGCACACGGTTATTTCATCTGATAGGTCAATCACCTGTCTGATCTGCAGCAGCACTCCCCCACTTCATCACTCAACCTGCTGCGTTCTGTTTAGGGAGTCGCTAAAAATGTGTGATGGGATTGCTCTGTCTCACGCCATGGGCAGGCAACCGACTTGATGCGAATGCATTTTCTGTAGTGCTTCCAGGTAAGGAGAAAGACGGCCTGCTGATTCATTACAATGGTGCCGAGATAACAGCCCCTTCTTTAATCCGGGCTGTCTCTGAAGCGAGCCAGGCATGACAAGAGTACGAGAGAGAAACAAATAGAGCAGAACAGGCAGATGAGGCAAGGAGTGCTGCTGATGCACCAGTGATTTACAAAGTTACAGAACTCAGCTGTGCTCTGCGAACCTCTCAGTGTGAACAAATGTCCTTCCACAATGTGCAGGATGCGCTCTTATAAAAATGTGTGCGTTCATAAACAGCACTAACAATAGCAGAGGACTAAAATTCATTAGGACACACTTTTGTTGGGGTTTAATTGGACTTCCTCCGTCACATTTCCAGGTAGAACTAATCCTTGAAATTTACAAAACGTTTGGCAACATTATGATAAACTAAGACTGAAGGCAGGAGGTAGCCTAAATTGTAGGATGGAATTATATTGGTAAGTTCCAGGTTAAAGGTTAGGAGTTTTGGGCTGTTGGAGGATATGAGCTGTGCTGGAAGAAATTGACTTGATTTTCATTTGCTTTTGAATAAGTCAGTGGGAAGGATTTCAACTGGATTTATTTATGTAAGCCTGTGCAAATAACCACTGGAAATGATTGACTGGGCAGACTGTTTTACATATGGAATTATTTAGCATTATTGAGGAAACTATTAAAAAAAGAGAAATGTACTGGAGTCCTAGTGCATACTAAAGGAGAAATAGGAACCCTTTCTTTTAGCACTGTAGGAGTCTGAATTACAAAATTCTTTGTACTGTAGATCTATAGCACATTTTGCTGTCAACATGATGAGGAAACCGTTTTCTGATCCAGGAGAATTAGAATCCACAACAGATTGAGGTTTATTATACACACTTATCTAAACTACAGTGCACTGCTTTCTGTCCTTCTTTGCTAATATTTGTATGCATAACAAAATAATTCAACACTTGGAGATTCTTATTCTGTGAAGCAAATGAGAAAAGAAGCAAAAACCACTTATCTGTGCTTAGTGCAATTTGTAATAATACATCATATAGCACAGAATGGGATGGTCCATTGAGGCAATGCATTAGAATTTCAACAAAAAAACAATGTTAATAAAAACAACGATAATAAAATGTGTATGTCAGAATATCAGCATGACCCTTTTCTATTTTTGCAATCAAAGTAATTTGGAATGTGAAGATTTGTAGTGGATGATTTTAGTTTAAGTGTGACTGGGAGGCTAAAAGTCAGCAAAGACACAAAAGGTCAAGATCACACTCCCTGTCCACCAAGCCAGTGGACATCATGGTGATGTATAACCACAGGGCAATCAGTGCAGTGTTTCAGAAGCTGCGTTGATGCACACAGCCATGATGCGGCTACACTTGACAAGCAGGTGACAGTCCTGCTATATCCAGACTGGAGGAGGAACTGAAGTCCCTGTATTCTCTGCTCATCTTGCACCGTGATGACAAGTAGCTTTATTCTCTTCACTGATGTGTTGCAGCACTTCAGGAGCAGACTATCCATGAGTTGTGCCCCATTATCAAACCTGTTTGCTTTTAAAAAGACAGTGAAAGCATAAATGGGGAAAGGCTGATGAAGTAGGTAATCGAAAGGTTATTGGTAATATTCAGACTTTGAAATTTGGAAGAACATATTTTTTTTTGTTATGGGGAATGATGTGAACGTTAACTTTAATGATAATGTCAATATTACTGAGCACTGCAATCTCACGTAGGGATGGGAAGTACTAAATACTAAAATATTCTTGTATACAAGTCCTACTATTACTAAAAGTGGTACTCTTGTATTAATATAATGTTTTTATTTAAAAATTAATCAACCCTCAGATTGTGTCCTAGGCACATAACACGTTTCACTATTTTTGTGTGCAAACACTTCATCATCCATTTGTTAATGTGGAACACATAAACAACCCATAACTCATATACAATAAACTAATAACTAATAAACACTAATAAGGCAACGCAAATCAAGAGCAGCTTACAAGAAGAACAAGAAGGAATAATAAAAAGATCTGCTGATAAAAGAAATGCTGTCCATGCTGACACAGTGCATGCTTTTGGACTTACTCCTTTCTTTTTCCCACAAGAGCAATTTCTTGACATTTCTGATAGCTCCATGTTATTATTTCTAGGTTAGGACAATTTCTGGGTTATCTGTCCCTTAAGAAACAACTTAACATAAAATCGAATGAAAATGTAAAGTAAAAACATTTTAACAAGCAACCATCCCAGACTGTTAAAACCACTTTCCCAAGGAAACACTTCAGCCAGCTTGTGCTAATAAATCGTTTATTTAAAAAATAAAACCATAATAAATTACAGTTCTGGAATAGGATCTCCCATAATCACAATGTAAAGAAATCTAATATAAATAAAGCCTTTGCAAAAATAAATAAAAAACATAAAAATCAATATAAAAATGCAGTTAAAACGGCACTTACTGTATATTACACCTGAATAATAACCCTTTTCTTAATATTGCTGTGCACAGCAATATTAAGAAGATGCTGAACACTAATGCATAGTTATACCCACTATGTTAACACAGACATAATAAACACTAAGGATACAGCACAACAAGACCAGTAAACCTTTGGAAATTAATCAAAAACATGTTTCACACAAAGCTTAAACCTTGACATTTAACCACCAACTCAACTGAAGGGTTGTCCCAGGAAACTAGACCTTTTTAATTATCTAGATTCTGTTTCACTAATGCCACATTTAAACACATATCAGAGAACCAATTATATAGACAAAATTAAGTATTTCACAGGACTGTTTGCTTTCATGCAATGCTAAAAGTTGATTGAATGCAGTGACTTTATATTTTAAAAAATGATTTAGTCTATCTGCTTCACTGAATGAGTGTCAAATCGACTACAGAGTTGACATCATATATATAATGTAGAATTTTGTGCATATATTGAAGATAAAAGGTTCACATGTACCCATAAATATAAGATTAAATGCTTAACTTGTCAAGATCCACGAACAATTTAATATCATAAGGTTGGTTTCCTAGAACTTCCTTCCTAGAGGGCAATCTGAAACAGTTTATAAACGGAAACACGTGCCTGTCACCTAGGAAGCAACCTCTGCTTGCTCTTCCTGAAAGGATTAAATTGTCATAGACAATATGATATAGATATGTTATATAGATATTGCACATATTACATAAGATATTATATAACATGTTATATAGATATTTAATCATGCAGCCTTTTAAGTAATATCTAAATACTCAATAAAGAGATCAAGTGAGAACCGAGTCCCCATGTGTACACATAACTAGAGGGACTGTAATAAAGATTTGTTTGCGTGCTTCCTTTCCTATTTGTTTAAACAGGGAAAGGGGATTGAAATTTAGGTCATGTTCTATGACATGTTCAGGGAAAGCAAGTGTCCACAGCCTCTGAAATAAAACATACAGTTCACATTTATACATCTTTTAAAATTTCCCTCCAGAATGCAAATGTTTGGAAAGTGAATTTAATCATATTAAATCATTTGGGGACCCTGACAGGCAAGCAGAGGAATTTCATATTATATCATTAGGTATACAGGAATATGAACTCTATAATCTACAGAGGTAGGATTGGGGTTTATTAGATCTCCCTTGAGAGCAAAACAGATTTTGCTTCAGTTTATACTTTTAAGTTGCACCTTAAAAGCTTTTTGTTAACAATGAACTGACTTTCTGGAAGTGAAAACTCTGCTGGAAAAAAAACCCTATTTAGTGTAAACGGGGCACTTTCTCAACATGGTGAAGGCAAGGTCACACAACTAGCAATTCAACGGGATGGAAATACTATGAGAGCACAGCTTTAAGGGTACTGTTTTTTTCCCAGAAAAAAACTTAAATATATTTAAATAAGGACTTGTATCGTTAAAAATCTATATATAAAAACTATACTACAAATCCAATAAGACAAAACTACAAGAACATTTCTACATTTAATGATACACCATAACTTTAAATGTACTAAGAATTATGAGACCACAATATCAACTAGTAAAAATTGTGAAATCGTCTCTAGCTTTTTAAAACTGATATAGAAATATAAATATATGTGTATTCTTTAAGTCTAGGTAGTAAATGTCTCAAGAACTGAATCAACTGAAGAAGCTGGTGACTTTGTGTAGAAAGGCTGAAACAACAGTTCCCCTGCTTAGTATCAAAAAGCACTAAGGAAATCATAATCTTCCATTTTTACCTGCTCACTTACAAAGAAATTACTTCCTGGGATATCTGAATGAACTCACCTAACATAACATGTTGGTTTTTCCCCTCTTTCTCAGCCTATCCTTATTGCTTCTTGATTTTGGAGTGTGTTCACTGTATATTTGGGACACAATTAGCTTCTAACATTTTTGGAATTTAAATTTGTACAGCCGATGCAGCTGAAAAAATAGTTTTTGCTGCTTTTGGTCAATAAGTAAAAGGAATATTGGAGAAAATGTCTTAAAAGAGCATGGAACACATCAAAATTATCCTTGTTGCTCCTAAAGGACATTTATTTGAGAGCACAGTAATTCAGAGCAGCATGTGCAAAGCTTAGTAAAGGAATGCCAAAAATGTTCTCCTAAATTTGAAGTTACAAAACCATGACCAGTATGGACTTTTAATAACAGGGGGAAGGTTCTTTACTTTTAAATATTAGTCACATGTTTAGATTCAATATTGCAGCTAATCGCAGGACAGTCCACCACGCCAACAATGATAACCTAACGTTACAGTCTCTTTGGTTTCTCAGTGTTAAATGTGGTTGACCATGCTCTATCACAATACTAACTGTATACAGAGGCACTTAAGACTTTATTTTTGGATGTGTAAAACAAACCAATCCCACAGCACAAACCAGTGAGTAAACATCAAACTTATTTTTTTTCGGAGTCACAGTTTTAGGTGTAATAAAATCAGTTACAGGTTTGACTTACGGTGACAGAGTAAATCTGCGGTTAAGTGAGACACATGATACAGAGCATGCCACTGGTGAAAACACAGACCTGTTAAAATGTCACAAAAAACATTGGCTGAAACAACGCAATGCACAAAGCTTGCGCATAGCTGAACTGATAAAGCATGTCTGCTTCAATTGTAAGGAGTACTGGGGGTGACATGTCAGGACCTTGGTCCAAATGTGACGTTCCATTGTCGAAAATACAGGCAACTTAATGCTTTTTTAAATATGTGATCATCTTTCACAGTTTTTAATTCTATACACAAAACTACCTTTTCAAAAGAAAAAAACAGCAGTTACAGACTGTGAAGATTATGCTAAATATTAAAATATCATACCAATTGATATAGAATTTCATTGACAATAACTCCCCAGTGTGACTTCAGCTTTTAAAGAAATGCAGCCAGAACAAGAAAGCAAAACACTTGATTATATAACCATATATCATCTGGGACACTATCATGGAGTGTAAAGAGAAAAATTCTAAACAGCTGTCTCCAAAAAGAATGCATGCGATTCAGCACTTTTTTAAGGATTTAAAAAGACGCACTTGTCAGACAGATTAAAAAAGGCCCCTCAAAAAGAAAAAAAAGTAAAATAAGAAATAATAAACCAGAAAATTAAATCAACGCAATTATTTCAAATACATTTTCACTTTTTAGAATATGTTTGATAAGAAATGTTGTGTTAACAGGTATAGAACCATTTGTTCCAATCTGGAGTAGACTGCAACAGTAAAATCAGCTCAAAATGTGCTATACTTGGCTGAGATACTTGTCGCCCTTAAGCTTGCCAGAGGTCACAGCTCAACTTCAGACCTGTCAGCCTCAATCCCATAAACGCTGACAAAAAGGCCGATCATCCTGAGGAGCCTGCTTGGCACCAACACCGTGTCACATGGTACACATATAACCCAGGGGTGCTGTGCCAAGGCCTGAACAAATGAAGGTTACCCAGGAAACGGAGAAGACACGCAAAAAAAAAGTTTCAACCCTCATCTCCCTTTGACAAAATCAATATAATAAAAGAAAGGAGGGATTAATGATAAGGCCCAAAGATAATGGCTTTTATATTAAGCAGGACAAAGACCTAGAGACTTAATAATATCTTCCTGGATTCCATTTTTAATCTTAAGGGTTTTTTGATAAAAAAGGCTACACATTTATATATAGGTTTCAGCTGGAATGGGGGAAACAGAAAAAACAACTACTTCTGTGCCCCACTCTTTTGTGTCTGCTAAACAGGGAATCATTACTACAGCTGTTAAACCACAACAGCTTTGCAATATTGGGGGTTACAAGTTCAGTCTCAGAAAATTCCAGGGAGAAGTATGGTTATTTCCCCAAAACCTTTCAAAATGGCTTCCTGCCTTCTGGGGGCTGAGCTTCTTCCATCTGCCTATAGGTGACTGGGAAAGTCATAGAGGACTTGCAGAGGCTGCCTTTTCCTGAAAGGAAAGAACCACAGGATCTTCCAGCGTGTGCCAAAAACCTCCGCAAAGGTCTGCTGCCATGGCTTTCTGAGCCTGGAACTGGAGAGAGAGAGCGTCCGTGAGACCAGAGAGCACGCTCCCGCGGGGAGCTACAGTCAACCCCAACAACAGAAGGATAGAGAGGGAAAGAGGGAGAGAGGGAGGGGGCTTGGAGGACTGCGAACTGAAGGGGTTACTATGGCCTCTGTGTGATGCAGTTTTGGCCACAGTATTCTTCACACTCGCAAAAACAATAGGGCCGAACACAAGTACAAAAAAGTCTAAACACGAGTTGAAAAACTGAGGGCCAAACTAAGAACCTTTTTTGTGGCTTTAAAGCCGCTAGCGGTCAAGTAAAATAACATTCGGGGAGCACGTTACCTTCTTTTGTGTTCTCTTAACTGTTGTGCTGCTGGCGAACTACCCTTGACTCATTTATAAACCAGACAAAACAGTCGAGCCAAATTAGTCTTATTCAGCTGAAACCTTCAAAGCCATCCGCGCAGCCAACAGTCACCGAAAATGAACGTTCAGTGGCAACTTGCAAAAAATACAGATTTGTATTTCTTGATCAATCTGATTTGACTACATCACCCTTAAAATCTCTAAACAAAGACAGAGAAAATCTTTTACAAAAAACATCTAAGAGTAAAAGGAAATACAAGACAATAAAAAAGGAACACCTCAGCAATACAATAAGCCTTTCTTTCTTATTATTTCTTATTATAATATAATTCTGGTACAGCTGCTTCAACACAGGGAATTATCATAGTATGGTAATTGTGGCTCTTTGTAGCTTACTGTTGAAGCAAGATACGTCTGTTTTAAATACAATGCATTAGATTCAAACTTTTACCTTCAGGTAGGAAACTTTGCAAGCTACATGTGATGCCAAGAAACCCTTGAAGACATATAATTCAATTATGTAAAATTTGTTTTATGTTATGCATAAGACTTTTTTGATTAATTCTGATATGTCATAGTGGTGTGCTTGGAACAAAGGAAACACTATTAGTCCTCAGTGGTTAACTCAAACAGTCTGGGTCACAGACATGACTTGTTTGACAACAACTAATGACAGGCACTTGCTGCCAAAAGCCTAACAGCAGACTGACAGCACAAGACACAGAATCTTGACTTTCTTCCTCTTCTTCATATTTTTAACCTTGGTCAGCTATGTCCTAAGGAAATATGGCCCCAAAGGAAATACGGCCATGGGTTTTCTGAATAAAAATTACATGCACCACCTTTTAAATCCCCATCTCTAAAATGAACAGGGGATAAATGAAGCATGGAATACTCACGTTTCATCATAATAATGTGACATTTTCTCAATGGTAGTCATGTCCTGTAAAGAAAATGAAAAAGACTTGTATTATCATTCTGCTGGCTGTGCAAGCCAACTGTTGTACAGCCCAGAGCTGCAGCCACAGGACCAGGAAACTCTGTAAAATGCACATTTGCTGTTAGTTACACACACACGTCAGACAACAAAACACCACTGTATGAGTTCTTTGAGAAATCATGAGGCTCAGACAGAGAGAAAAAGTTATGAGCCTATAAAAAGTATAAGAAAAAAGAATAATGGGCAAAAAAAGCAATTTCCTGATTTGTACAGCGTATCCACGAAGGCTTATTTTTATAACTTCTGGCAGAGGTGACACCGCCAAATATGGACTCAATGGGGGGTGAAAACTTATGCAATCAGTTATTTTCTGATACATATCATTTTAATTCATTAAGGAGGATCTGTAGAATTTTATTTCGACTTTGACATTACAGAGTGTGTTGATCTATAGCACAAAATTAGCTACATTATGATTCCATATTGTAACACAATGAAATATGAATAGGTCCAAGGGGGGCGAATACTTTGGATAGCCACTGTATGAGCCTATACCGCTGTAAGAATAAACCTTTAGGTTTGAGCAGGGAAGCAGGAGATCACAGATCACATTTAGCTTTTCAATGTGTTTCTAAAGTACTAAATACAGCCACAATCATTATATTCAAGTTCCCAACTGAAAATATGCAGAAAAGGTGACACATAATTTAGGCAAGAAGCAAAAGGTCAGTAGGATGAAAATCACAGGGAAGGTTCAATACTTCAAACAGATTACTTGCAAAAATACGTCTAAATTTCACTTGATGATTGAGAACATGTAATGCAGTTGAGAGTACTTCTCTCAACCCGTAGTCTAACACAGCAATGTTTCATGAGTCAATCACATGGAGGTTTTTGGAAATTGTCCCGGCAGACAACACATTTGACTACAAGCACATGAATAACAATTTAATTGGAAACAAAAAACATTCTCTCAACTGACATTGTACAGCAATGCAGATAATGTTTCCTTTCAGACTTGAAAGCACGGTTTTTATAAATGAATTGCTTGCAAATATTTAAGCATGAAAAACCTTTTCTGATTGCTCATCTGAACATTTCAGAGAAAGAAATAGAAAGGATTGGTTTGGAAATGTCCAGTATGTGGACAAAGTGGGATTTGACTGGCCCTCTGCATTCATGCTCGCGTCATAACTGCGGCACTGATTGAACTGTGATCTCTCTCTTGGACTCTTGAGATGCGAGAATCCTCCAGTATAAGATGTTGCAGACAGATGTAACTCCGAACCAGAGCCGTTTATGTTTCCCTGTCACAATCACCAGACTGCTGAGAGCCACGACTTCCTCATTGGACCTCGCATCACCTTCTTTCTGCACCTAGTAATGCGGAAAAAGCTGAGCTCTTCTTGAATCATCTGTAACTGCAGCCGGCTGTGCCATACCCAGCGGGTTACTTTGCTGTCTCCTGCCAGACCCCCAGCCCCTGTGACATGCTGTGAGAGTCAGAACAGACACCCTATAATTGCTCTCCACTTAGGGTGGCTTTCTTGTGTATATAAAGGCACAAGTTCCAAATGAGCAATGCATGCAGTTTACCACACTACAAAAAAACTACAGGTATCCAACTCCAGTGAAAACAGTGATATAACAATGATCATGGGGTGTTTAAGTTTACAGAAGAGATTTACTTGCAGGCATTGTCTTGTGGTGAAAATGATATGTGCCTCATGCATACGCAGTCTCATACACTGTTATTTTTCTTCTGTGAATCTTGAAACTAAATGCTGTACTGTACGACCTTAATAATTACATTCAATGCAACAAAATCAGAATATAAAATGGCAAATCAAAGCAGAAAATAAAGTATTTTTAGACAGGTTATTCTTCAAGAATAGTGCTACCACATTTCTAAACTCAGCAAATTCAAATGGCAACATTCTAAATTGTGTACATCACCAAGCGTGTGTGTTTATTCAAGTGACATACGGTAACTGATGTTCAGGCACATATTTCTCCAGCTCTTAAAAGCAGAAGCTTCTTTTGTTGGAGAACTATCTGGGGGTGTGAGGTATATTTTTTAACTATGACAGGAAGTTGGTATGTGGCCAAGTATGCCAAGTTCCTCCTCCGTGTTCTTCCTGTTCTCCCTCAGGAGGGGTCCTGGGCTTTGTGCTCAGCCAGTGGTCGAGTGGCATTTCCTGACAGCGACACGAGCCCCTGAGTAAGAACTGACACTAGGGGAAGGGTGCCTTCTACTGAGCCAGTAACAATGTCTGTCTTGTCCTGAGGCCACTCCTCTGCCATCGTACATTCAGAGGTCAGGGGTCATTCAAGTTTGATTTTTAAAGTAATAAGCTTGAGACTGCATATAAACAAAGGGGCTCATACGCAATTAATTTGGATCCTCTTCACAGAGGAAGTGTCAATAAAATCATATTAAGGTTTGCTGTTCAATTATATATTGCTGAGTTTCCTCCCATACAGTACGTAGCACTGAAAGATTTTATGTTGTTCATAAATATATAATATATAATAATCCATAATAATAAGTAGCTAATAATGATGTTTTTTTCATTTCTGACTTTGTTGTCTCTGAAATGTGTGAATAAAATCAGAGTTTTGATGGTCACAGGCAATGTTACATTAAGATTTAGACCCTTTACATCTTATTCCAGGTTTTATCTGAATATTTACTTATTTAAACCCATACTGTACATTTTGTTATTTTATTGATTTTCTTGTCCTGTATTGTTTTATGCATGACATGCTGGATACATTATCATCTCTTGTGTTTTGCGGGAGAACTTCCTATTGAAACCAGAGATGGGACACTACAGTTCAAATGAGCAAAGAAAACTTTTCTTCCTCATTTCAGCAAAATAATCACTGACTGCCACACTTCACCTTCTGTGCTCAAGTGGTGAAATACACAATCACAGAAGCACAAGAAAAACCTTTTTTTCTTTTCCGTGTGTATGATATGCACAACTGGAATATGAGCAGGTTAATAATTATGAATAAAATGTGGGGACTGTGAATTACCTCCAGAAACATCATAATGCCATTTCTTGCTTCAAATGATCTGTAACAGTCTGCTTTCCTCGAAGAAAGCTGGTGAAGCAGTAAATCAGCCAAATTAGACTGGACTGAATCAGAAAACTGTACTCTTTTTTGCTTTTTACTTCAGAAAGGATTGCCTTTTTTCATCTTCAGTGCCTCAGGCAAACAAACGGAACCACATGTGGAAGAACATCTGGATAAATTGAGGGACTTCCTTCATGGAATCTTCCCTTTAAACAAGAAATGTAAGCCTTAAAATCAGATCCCAGATTAGTCTCATCACAGGCACAGCTCTGTTCAAACATCTGGTAGCACAGGGTTGGAAGATCAGACTTTTAGATGGAAAATAAGATTAGGTTATCTGTTATTTTTAAAGGGTACGAGTAATTTCTAATTATTTTAACTGGGTCAGAGTTAATCCTCTTTCCCAGCCCTCACACGATGCGTTCAATTAAAGGATCACAGTCAAAAGTGATTATCCCGTTACCTACAAACCCATTCGAAGATGGGGATTTTCCTTTGATATGCTACTATAGACAACAGATTGTGAATTACCACTAAATACCTTCAACAAAATGTCAAAACAGCTAGGGATATGGGGATGTGCTTGATACTGTTTTGATTAAAACAGCGCAAGCAGTTTATTGTTTCACAGCAGAAATCTGTTACCATTTATAGTCCACATTATAAACACAGGAAACATTTCCTTAGTTTAGCAGGACAGATTCTCAATTCTTCATCTCCTGCCTTTACAATCAAAAAGCATTGTCATAATTGGCCAATCTTTATCACTATTTTCTTTGAAATGTTTTAACTAAAATACCATACTGTAAGTACATTATTATCTTTGTATCTGTACACCTTAAATTTTATTTCATTATAGGGAGTCTGGGTAGGACTGGATTTTATACCTAGTGATAATGCAGCTCTTCTAAGGTATGATAAAAGGTATTCAAACAGAAGCAGGCTAAAATTAAGCCTCATGCAGGTTTAGTGAGGATATTAGGATGTGCCAGCAACTGGCAGGTTCCCATAAAACTAAATTCTCTTAAGAGTATTAGAGACATCACTTCCCTGTTTTATACAATTTATATTGAATGGTAAATAAACAGATGTTTTATTTAGAACATCAGCAGAATCTTAACATGAATTTAAAAAAACATGTTTTATAAAAGTACAGCACAAGTCTTACCAATTTCTTTCAGAGCAACCCAACATTTCCATATATAATTGCCTCTGATAATGTTATTTAATTAGCTTTGACACAAAGCTTCCAGTTAACTGCCTGTGTATAACCAGCTAAATACAAAATATTTGTATACTTATACAGTATATCTTAAACTTGTGGTATTGTCCACTGATATAATGACTGATAACAGATTAATTAAAGAAATCTTGCTCTGATGAAATCTGACACCATGTTTTGTTTGGATAAGTTCTTTCCAAATTATCATGGTCACAAGGAAATATACTGAAGGACATAGGGAGAAATCTATGTGGAAGTGCATTTAAAATCGAAAGGAGGCACTTCTTTAACCACGGAGTTGTGGAAGTCAAGACGTTGTTAAACTGATATCTTGGTTTCTTTCCAGAAATGACTGGGAGAGATCCATGGATCTACTGGAATGGCGTCGTCTTGTTTATAACTGGGCACATGTTCAGAATATTAATATAGCTGATAAGTCTAAAAAGAACCTTGAGGGTGAGGGTTAAAGAGATCTTTGTAAGAATCGTTTGTCACGCAGGGACGTAACAGTTCTCCATTAATCCAACTGATTTCACCAACAGATCTGCTGTATAGTGGAGTGGCTGGATGAAGGCTGCCATAGGTCACCAAGGTGGGTGCTATATTTCAGTGTGAATGAAGTGTATGCTCTCCTTATGTGAGGTACTTTGGGATTCTTTGCAATGAAAAGTGTGATACAAATGTAAGGATGTGACACAGTGGTTAGCATTGCTGGCTCTGGGCTCTGTCTGCCTGGAGTTTGAATGTTCTCCCCCCGTGTTCATGTGCATGTTCACTGTGTGCTTTGGTTTTCTCCTACACGCCCAAGACATACTGCTACAGTAGGGTGACTGGCCCTGGTGTGTGCGTCTGCCCTGCCATGGCCTGCAGTCCCATCAAGGGTGTACTCTGCCTTGTGCCCGTTGCTTGCTGGGCCTGGCTCTGGTTTCCCCTCGACCAAGAACTGGATTGCTTCAGAAGATGAATGGATGGATGTTCTGGGACATCCAGAAGGGAAAACTTGCCCTTCTCAATCATTTTTCTCTATGAAATAATATTATTTGAGGGAGATTAAATCATATTTTGTCTTCTGATCTGTTCCTATGCGATATCGCATGCCGCCAGATCAAGTAATCCATAATATACACAAGCCTCTATCCTCAGGGAAATGCAGAACACACAGGCTGACTGGCACTGAAAAAAAGTGTTGTTTTTTTCTACAAGGACAGATACTCCCATATTGAAAATAACATGTCTCAATCATTTTCTTCCTGTTCCCTTAAAATACTTTAAATTGATCATTTGATGACAAAGGAGCTGATGTGTGGTGAGCGTTCTGGCGCACTATGGCTGCCGTCGCATCATCCAGGTGGATGCTGCACATTGGTGGTGGTGGAGGGGAGTCCCCATTACCTGTAAAGCGCTTTGAGTGGAGTGTCCAGAAAAGCGCTATATAAGTGTAAGCAATTATTATTATTATTATTATTATTATTTGAAAAACACAGTTGGTGGTACTCCTTGCACAGATTTTCATAGGCCGTGCTCTCTTACTATTTTGGCACAATTCTTTTCTGGAAATGCCACCTTCAGTTCCTTCAGTTTTTCATCCTTTGCTGCAACAGCATGACACATAGGGCACAAAGCAATATAGAGCAGCAGCAATGAAGTAAGAAAACTGCTTCTTGAACACTCTGATTTTTGCAGGAAAATTGGGGTGCTTGAGTTGTGTATTTAAAGAACTCAATATTCCAATAAAATTGGAAACGCAATGTCTAAATCTTCAAGTAACCCTGCCTGTAAGCTCTGCATCACTTAATTCTAATTCACAGTATTCTGAAAGCAGTGCTTTACAGCGTATTAATCACATTTAAATCAAAATCTAAATACAAAAAGAAACATTCCTCCCTTGACAGAAATTTCGGTTTTGTTCCCTGCTGAAGGAAACTCTATTACCATCTCTTTTCAACTTGGTATCATAATACCTTTCAAAATGAGTGACGTCCGTCAATTTAAAGGGAAACTGCAATGCTGTTTTTAAATTTTGGGGTGAGAAAGAATGAGCATTGATGAGTGCATTTTAAACCACAATAAAAGTAAAACATACACAATAACTTGTAAGACCTGCAATTTACATGACAAAATAGACAATTTCCTGGTACGTGCAGCGCCATATTCTGCGATTCAGAACAAGGCAGCAACACGTTTGGTGAGGTGAAGCAACCCTGTTACATTGTAAAGAAGCAGGCTTGTGAATACATCTCTTTCAATCCAATAGAAATATTGCTCAAGATCTTGCAGACAAACACTACTTGTTAACTCTGGACACAGATCACGTTAGAACATCTCTATGGTGAACTGTCTGCTGTACAACCTGTACATCAAATTACGTTAGTTCTTGTGGTGACTAGCAAGGAGGAAGAGAAGCTTTACATCAAAATTCACGCAAATTCTCGATCTCGCCCCTGGCAAGACCTGGAGCTAGTGACAACAATGGCGACCATACAGCACTTTCAGAAAGTGCACACTTTGCATTTATTTCAAAACTTGTAAAATTACCATTAAATCATTTATTTTGTTACCAAGGTTTAATAACCGGTCGGAGAAATTGGGACTGAGGTTCCCCTTTAACTGTGTATGTTACTCACTGTGAGTATGCCTGTTATCTGTGTGTAGAACAGGCCGCTAATCCCAGCAAACATCAGCAGACCCATGAACGCAGATATCCGCAGCAGGGCCAGTTCATGTCTGAATAAAAGCAGCTCCTAACACAGAACAGAGAGCAAAGATTTGTTCAGGCACACATGAACAACAGACTCCAGCAAATCACATATGGCAGTTAATCTATTGTGTATGTATCACAGCATATAGCGACCAATGTGTATATTTAAAAGTATTCATTACCACAGACAGCCTTATTACTTTATCATCAGAGTTTATCATGATTCCACACCAGCGCAAAGCTAATTGTCTTCCTCACTGGGGGCCTGTTTATATAATATCACAATCCCACAGACTCCGATTGAAGTGGCTTGCCATCTCAGCAGATCGGGCACACTAAAACAGGTTCCAAAAAGTTAAGCTTTCCCTTTCGCTGCTTGGAGAACGTAGAGATAACAACATTATCTCGCTAAGGCAGACAGCTCAGAGGAATTCAGTAATTCACATCTGCCTAATTTAAAAAAAATACATTCATTGGCAAAGCTTTTTTTACATTCCTTTAAAGAAAAATGACAAAGTTATTGATGTGTCCAAACATTTTATTTGACGTCAGTGAGACACATGCAAAACATGAACTTGAATATGCGAAGGGTGTGTCTCATTTTTACTGGCACTGCAAAGGTGAATAAGACCTTAACAGTAACTGCATGCATCAGCAGAACCAGTAAACAACAGGATTTCTATAAGGTTCTTCTGCAGACAATCCTGTACAGTTTTATAGCTACATGGATTCGTAGCCGAACACAGGTTCAGGTGAACTCTTTCATCGTTAGCTCTGTTGTCCTCGCTGGCGTAGCTAAAGGAAAAAGGGCAGAACACGAAGGCTGCACAGACTCATGACTCACATGGCTCTTGGTTCCCGACTTTAACACAGGCTTAGGGCACCACCTGTGTGGAGTCTGCATGTTCTCTATTTGTCCACCTGGGAGTGTACACATAGTGCAGAGTACACGCCTGACCACAAAGCAGTGCTGCCTGGCACCCTGTGCTTCTGGGACAGGCACAGGGTGGCCAGTGCTCAAGGGCACCAGGAACAAGTGCCTTTCTGATAATGCGTGGATGGAATAACACACGCATTTCAATCTGCAGAAGCTTTTGTTTTATCTATCTGTTTTATCAAATTTTGTTCAAAAGATGAATTTATTCAATCTACATTAAACTATTTTACTGTAAGTACACTAACATATTTAAAAATGTAACAGGTGTGAAGCAGGCGTTTTTAAACCCACTTGTGTTTCTGCTGTAACCCTACTTAACAATTTTAAGACCCATGCTAACTTGGAGGATTCACATTAATGATTATTTATGGGGATCTGTATTTTACTAACTGTAAACTATAAATTTACTACCATTTACTAACTGTAGCTTAAAGTAACCAACTTTCTCCAACTCAAAGAGAACTTGTCTTTAAATATAAATTACTACGGATTAAATAAACTCCCCCTGCACCTCTACAGCTTTCTACTAAATACATTTTACTTGGCGTAAAATGTGTTTTTACTGGCTTTTCTCCTGTCCCCTTTTGAGATACAATGAAATGTGTTAAATCCTATTTACTCCAGAAACTGTGCACAGGAATATCAATTTTTAAAGTTTAAAAGAGATGAAAGTTTAATTACTATAACTCTCAGAATAATACATTTACAAGCACAAGTAATTGCCTTTAACTGATGGGCAGTTAGTGTATGCATTATTTTAAAAAAGGACAAAATAAGGCTGACTCAGTGATGAATTCAATATAAGAATATGGAAAATATAGCCTATATTTAAGTTTTATTATACACCTCCCAGTTTAGAATCACCAATTGTTTTTAATACTCAGATTTTATTGCCACAACCCCCATACAGCACAAAACAGAGAAGACATCCTTTTCTGACATGCCCATTCACTTTTTGACCAAATGTTTTTGCTGACTTGTGCTGAAAGCCCAATGTGCCTTATAGTGGAGTTTTGCTGATTGGAGAAGCCTTGCTCACTAACGTCACTGCTGTAGGAGGTCTGTAGTGATCAGTGCTGTAGTAATCAGTGAAACAAATCATTGTTTCACTGAAATTCAAGACACTGGCTGACTAATGCCCTCTCCATACCACCCACTGGAGAATCACACTCATGGCTGCCCAGAGATATTGTCCACTTGACATTGAGCGTAGCTGCTTGAGCCATCTAACGTAGCATCATAGCTGTATACTATGTAGGTACTTCAGTTTATCACTAAATCAGTACTGGACCATACTCACATTAATGATGATGCTTTATTAGTAGAATAAAGAAGAATTAACGCATATTTCCTATTACTATATAAGATACTGCACAATAAAATAATAGCACAATAAGAGACTTTTTTAACACAAAATTACTCAGAATTCTCTTGGTTCTTACCTCATTTACTCTCGTCAAAGGCTGGAAGTAATAGTACTGGCAAAAATCCAGCACTAGGGTAAACATGCTCAAAACTTGGGTGTAGAAGCAGAGCTGCAGGAAGAGCCAGTGGTTGTCCTCTCCAACACAATTATTAATCCTGTAGAGTCCAAGGAAGAGTTATTCTCCTAGCCTGAGGTAAACGTATCCAGATCTAATAAGCAATATTATATATGCAACACATGAGTATAGGAGCCCATAGCACTTCTGACACTTCTCAAAAACAGAATCGACAGTTACGCTTGTTGTACGCATCTGATTTGGAATAGCTTCCTGTGCGTTTTTCAAGTCTCGGCTAACAAACCCCGTGACCGCACACGGGGAAGAGTGAGGAAGTGTAGGCCATCTCCTCCAACCAGCCTCACCTTTGAACCGCTCATTTTTTTAGATATCATACCGCATGATGCGCAGCCACATCCTGGAGGTTTAGAGTTAATTGGAGGAGAGGTCTGTCCCTCCCTGACAGCACTGCAAGAAGCCAGCTGAGTAGTGGGGTTGTAGTGTCACAGAGAGGCCTGGCTACCTACTCCCACTACCCTACTCCTTTTTAGCCATTGTTCGGCCACTTTTCCACTGCCACTTGAGAATCGAGTCCCAGTCAGTGACCCGGACTCGATCCTGTGATCACGGGACTGAACCATAAGGGAGACACTGTTATATTTTTAATGGCTCGCTGTATATAAAATCTACAACACCATGCCTGATCTGCAGATCAGTAACTAACTTCAAACGGGGCTGAATGATTTAAAACAACAATTATAACAATAACAACATTGTAGGTTTCCAGACAAATCAGTAAAACGGAGAATGAAAGGCATATGGCCGATTCATTACAATGCCTACTTTCATATGTAATGGAAGCTAGTCACGATTCACTGGATTTGAACAAAAAAGGTATTTTCTCTCTACTGTACTGTCCGTTGACTAACAATATTAAAGTTAACAAGTCATCTGATATCCAGGGTGAAATATATGGGGAAACATCATTGCTGAGCAATTATTGTATGTCATGACCACAAGACAGCCACAAAACTTAATGAAGAGACTTTCCTCCTCCTCAATTAGACTGCTGTGTTGTGCTACCAAATTAATTGATTGATTACTCTAGTAGGCTGCTGCACTGATGTTAATGCTTTGGGTTTCTTCAATATTCTGGAAAATCAGCACAAGCACAGTTTATTTAAGCATCACTACAGATAAACATCACTCTCTGCAAAAAAAACATTTAGTTGTGGAAGTAAAATAAACTCTGAAAATAATCCATATCTATATAACATTTGTATGTACAATAGGACCAATCTATGTTACGTAGGTGTACACTGTTAACATTACATAACTATGCAATGTTCAGAATTTAAAGAAATATTAATTTAGTACATTCTTCTTCTAAGACTCTTGTTTGGATTTCACACTTTTGGGATAGGAGGATGTTAAATGTACAAAATTTTAAAGTAAAATAAAAAATCCTATTAAAAATGCCAAGAACCACATGAGAATTCAACAGCAATGTAAAGACCTAGAGAGTTACAAACATTACTAAAGAAAGCTAAATATTTGACTTTATTTGACACAGTACAGCCTCAAGAAGGAAGTATCTTTCAAGGAAAACATACATGTTCTTAAAGATGTCCTGATGCACACTGAAATAAATGAAGAATCCATCAGTAAAAAGAGCAATAAATAGTACCCTAATTAACTGTGCTATGGGAGTTACTTCTTAAAGGTATTACTGAACAGAGCAGGTCTACAGATGTTAAATAGAGGGTTAACTTCTCAGAAGTCACAGGTCAGTGGATGGTATGTTTCCAGTCCAGTTCCCTCACTGACATCAGATGCTCTCAATAAGAATGCATATATACCTCGTCTACTACAAATAAATACCTGTCAGTTAGAAGGAGCCACGTTAAAAGAACAGAGCTCCACTTTCAATGAGAACTGAAGTTTATTTTTAAATGATTTACTTCCTTCCTTTACTTCAGTAGTGTGGAAAGGGCAGATTAGGACTCCACCTCACTGCAGGACTGAAAACATCACTCTGAACAGAATGTGCTTTAATGTGCTGTCAGTTACTGCAAACACAAGGCAGGAATTCAAACGGTTTTGTAGAGCTGTTCACAAAAAACAGAGACCTCATCTCCACTGTATTGTCAAAAATGAAGCCATGCATGAACAGCCTAGTGGGTAAAATGTATCAAATTATGGATATAAGGGATGAAAAAAAGCTTGCACATGAATATTTGTTTTGTGTGTGGTACACATGCGAACTTTTATTATAAAATCTGACACTTTTCATCCAAACACTGTGCTCCCCACTTTGACAGCAGTCCTAGTCTCCTGTAGTACATCATAATCCCTTTTGCTCTGAACAATTTTCAGTTAATATATTTCACATTTTTAAATAAGGAGTTGAAGAGCCGGAAAAGGAAAAAATAAATGAAAGCAAACATGAAACTCCCAAAGGAGAAGAGAGGAACAAGAGTAAAGGAACAACTTGCACAGCTTCGCTTCAATGCAGAAGATTACTAATGATGATGACGATACTAAAAGGGCTGTCTTGGCTTTCAACAGCTACTGTGTCTTCACTGAGCACATCCCCGCCAAAAGCCTCACCAGGGACAGTGGTGATCCATCTTCCGGACACAGTGACCACAGCGGCTGCAATGGTGGGATCTCTTGGGCCTCATCAGGTTGCACTTACTGCACAGCTCCCACTGTTCTCTCTCTGAAAGAGTGCAAGTCGGAACAGAGTGACACTCACATCTCACACAGGCTGAAGAACTGCATGTCAATGCAAAACCTGTATTTAAGGGCCTGTAAACTGTGGACACAGTAACAGAAATGACTTCACAGGAGGTGAACTGTGGACACGGTAACAGAAGCGACGTCACAGGAGGTGAACTGTGGACACGGTAACAGAAGCGACGTCACAGGAGGTGAACTATGGACACGGTAACAGAAATGATTTGACAGGAGGTGAACTGTGGACACAGTCACAGAAATGATTTCACAGGAGGTGAACTGTGGACACAGTCACAGAAATGATTTCACAGGAGGTGAACTG